TTTTTTTTTTTTTTTTTGGTACATTAATCCATCCGTTCATTAACCCAACTTCTCTTTTCATTTTCAGTTTGGGCTTCCTGTAGACGCCCTTTTCCTGCGCAACAGAGCTGGGCCTCCCTTTCTCTAACTCCCCCTTAACACGTCCGGGGGAGCACGCCACCTGTGCCCTCCCCTCTCTTCCTGCCAAAGTTTATAGAAGCCCGGGAGTCTGAGGATGGTGTCTGGCCTCTGGTCGAGAAGCCAGCGGTCGCCGTGGTTCGGAGATGCCTGGCGCATCCCAGCCCCCCTCCTGGCGCCTCCCCCGCCGGCCTCTCCCCGGCCATCTTTGCCACACTGTGACACGTTCCATGGTCCCATCTGCCCTTCCCCACCACCAGCTTCCCTGCTCGTGACTGCTGCTTGTTCCCCTGAAGTATTTGCGTCCACCGTGGCTGGGTCAGAGCCAGTCAGCACGGCTCTTCCCCTTGGTCCCCAGGCACCGGGCCACGGCCCCTTCTGAGAGGGCTCCAGTAGGAGGTCCTCTGGTGCCTTTTCCCTCTGGCCTCCGAGCCCGGCCCTTTCCAGTTTTGAGTTGCTCCGAGTAAGTGCACTCAAGTGGTGTTAATCCAGAACGCGTTTAGTTATGCCGAGGCCTTTCCAGAAAACTCGACTGCTGAAGAACATAGCATAGATTTCTCCTCTCTATAATGCCGGGTACCCCACAAATGCAGAAGGGAGAATAAACCTGAATATTCTCACCAGCCTAGTGTCTTCAATGATAGACTTCTGGAATTCTTCTGAGGTGTCTCAGTATCTTTGTAATCTCCCTTAGGGCTCCACACCACCCCAATCAGGCAGAGCCAGTAGCAGGCCCACGTTGGAAACTGCCAAACCGAGCGGTCAAAGAAGCAGTGTCTTCAGTTTTGCACTGATGGGTCTTCCCGTCTATTTAGCGCATGTCAGGAGTTTTAATCCGTATTTTGCATGTGTCCCCCCCTCCCCCCGCCCCCATAAGAATAGGTGAGACGATCGGTTGGGGAGGCAAACACCAGGTGTTGTGCTTTGGAAGGTCCCAAACCTTATCTCCAGTCTAAAACTGTTCCAGCCCCAATTTTTATCACGGGCCCACCTGATAGTGACTTTGGGAACCCGTGTGAGGTAAAGAGCCCTCCAACGTCAGGGCCACGAGGTACAGTGTGGCCTTTGGTGTTTGGCCAGCGAGAGCGAGAGCGAGCGAGCGAGCGAGCGAGCTGAAGGTCACCTGGCAATGATGTGTGGCTAACACGCCGTTTCTCTGCCCTTCCTTTGCAGTAATCCATGGCTGTGTACTGAATAGTATCCCCTGCTACAGCTGGACTGGACTCCATTTAGCCTTTTAAAGCCAAGGCTCCTATTTTAACTGACAGCTTTCCTTTGGGGTGCCAGGCAGCATCCCCCACCCCTGCCGTGTACTTCACTTTGAGCCCCATTTCTTCTTTTGAGTTCTGCCTCCGAGTCCACTGGCACTGATCATGACCTTCTTTTGTATATCTTTTTTTTTTTTTT